ACTGGGTCCTTTTGAAAGGTGGCTTTCTGTGAAATTCTTGTGAGGGTTTGTAGCAGACTGTCAAGGTGAAATACCATTTTATCACATCTCTGCTGTCATTGGGTATAGCTGCACACTGCTCATGTTACTGTAAATGTAAATCCCATAGGATTGTGAAATTTAACTCAACTTTCTTGATTGAAAAATGATACAAAATTCTTTATAAAATTAATTTCACCTCTGAGACTGTGAAGTGCCCCCACACTCCTGGTCCCATGAGAAAGAAAAACTACTTTAAAAAAAATTAGATAATACTTTTTAAGTTTGCTCTTAAACATTAATACTTTTAAAGTTTAAGCTTACTATGAGTATTAAGCCCAAGGTTGATAGAACATTTAGAATATAGGCAGATACAGATGAAAATTTTTATTCTAAGTATATCACTTATAATTCAAATCTAGCAGTATATTAAATGATAGATACAAGGAAAGTTATTCAAAGTGTGATTATTTTAGTAGATTTACTCAACACCTCATACTTGCAGATTGCAATGCTGACTGATGGTTCACCAAATCAATTTCTTCTCCCTACCAAATGCACATCTAGACTACATTTATTAGCCCCTCTTGTTCTTAAGTATAAATTTGTGCCTGAATTCCAGTAAATAAAATGCAGCTGGGAATGTCATGTGCCACTTCCAGCTCTGGCTTATGACACTTTTTCCTGGGTAATCTTTCTCTATGAAAAAGATGGCAGAGCCACAGATAGAAGTCGTGGGCAGAAAGGTTGAATAAACTTTTGGAAATCTGCCTCAAAAACATTTGCCCTGTCACAAGAATGACAATAGCTTCTTATACTAACATTCTGAGGATTGTTGGTATTAACAGGCAGCCTACTCTGACTTAATTAAAAAAAAAAATTTTTTTTGGCCATACTGGGAATTGAACCCACTGTTATACCATTGATCTACACCCCAAACCCTTACCTAATTTTTTATCTAATTAATTTTCCCCCCATGATACCATGTTACATTTAGGTACATGTCTTCCTCAGCTCCTCTTGGCTCTGGCCATTTCTCAGACTTTTCTTGTTTATAATAATAATGCCAATGACTGCTTTTGAGGAGTACTAGACAGGTGTTTTGTAAAATGTCCATCTTCTGGAATTTATCTGACATTTTTCTCATGACTACTGAGATTATGGGTTTTGGGGAGGAAGATCACAGAGGTAAGGTGCCATTTCATCACATCATATGAAGCTAAATACTTTCTTTTTTCTTTTTCTTTTTTTTTTAAAGATAGAGTGAGAGAGGGAGGGAGAGAGAGAGAGAGAGAATTTTTTTTTTTTAATATTTATTTTCTAGTTCTCGGCGGACACAACATCTTTGTTTTGTATGTGGTGCTGAGGATCGAACCCGGGCCGCACGCATGCCAGGAGAGCGCGCTACCGCTTGAGCCACATCCCCAGCCCAAAGCTAAATACTTTCAACATGACTTATCACTGTTGATGTTGACCTTGACCACCTTCTGAATAGTGAGGTACTTGTGGTGGAGATAGTATTTGTTGGGTTTCTTCATTGTAGAAGCTGCTCTTCACACCTCCTCTATTACTAAAATACAATTTTATTTATTTTTATTTTTTGGTATGGGGTATTGAACCCAGGGGCGCTTAACCACTGAGCCACATCCTCAGTCCTTTTGATTTTGAGACAGGGTCTCATTAAATTTGTTAAGGCCTTTCTAATTTGCTAAGGTTGGCTTTGAACTCATTATCCTCCTGCCTCAGCCTCCTGAGCCACTGGGGTTACAGATGTGTACCACAGCTCCTGGCTAATTTTTTTGCAGTACTGGACCTTGCACATGCTAGGTAAGTGCTGTACCACTGAGCTATACATGCCCCTTCCTTCTTTCAAATACAGAAAGAAGTCACTCTCTGCTGCTCAGATGTAGGGAGGGGAGAGTTATGCTCCATATTTAGGGTGGATTTTTTACATAGATTAACTGGATAAATACTTAAGAACATGATTGCTGGGTCATATAATAAGGCCATGTTTACGTGGGAAGAAACTGCCAACCTGTACTATTCTTGCATCCCCATAAGCAATGAATGGGTTCCTGTTTCTTGGCATCTCATTGAAAATCGGTATTTTCAGTTTTTTGGATTTACCCATTTTCATAGGTATGTAGTACCTCATTGTTTCCTGTGTTGATATTTTAAACTTACATGTCTGGTAATTCAGGATTATCTCTGGATCTTTCCCTCTTTCCTGATGTTTGTGACAATTCTGGTTCATTTTTTGATGATCCGAAATTTTTCTCATATTTGATTGTCTGATTATAGGATGGATACTGATAAGTACTTTTAGGGTATAAAGAATAACATTTCCCTCCTCCTAAGATGATTTTCATCTGCTTCTGTTTGGTGCCTCAGGGCTACTAACCCAGATACCTTTATCTACAATCAGTGTTTGGGCTTTTCCTAGTCTCCCAGATGACCTGAAACAGAGTTGCTTTGTTTACAGTTCACACTTCTAGGAGCCAACACTTTGCGGTTACAATTCTTAAGTGCAGGAGGTCTGCACTCCCCTCCTTTTGTCCTACAGTTCTTGAGGCTATTGGGAACACTACTGAATTCCTCAGCTTCCTTTTCCACATCAGCCAATGCTCCTTGGACAAAAGAAGTTCCAAATGTTGGGGTTGGCAGTGTGAATTTCTCTCTTCCCAAGATCTTAACTGGCAATTCCTATCTGACTTTTGAATGTGGGGGTGATATTTCATGTGTATATTTTAATTTTCTTTTGTGGGATTCTGTCCAAATTACCTAATCTACTGCAAATGCAGGGTTGTGGGCGGGGCGTGGGGCGTGGGGCGTGAACAGGAACTGAGCATGCCTCCTTAGCCTTGAGTACTGGAGGTGTGGAACTGGCATCACACGCAGGGGGAAGCAAATAAGCCTTACCTTCCCTGGGTAAGGAAGTGCAGCTCTGGGATTGGGCGTCACCCAATAGGACTGGACAACATACAACGGAACTGGGCTACACCCCGAAGTTTGTTGTAACACAAGCCCTTGCCTTATTTGGGTGGAATATTCTATTGAATGTCTTCCCCTAATAAATACCGGGTTCAGGGTGCATTCCTCTCTTGCCTCTTGCCTTCTGCCTCCCTAGCTCCTCCTGTCCTTCAGCAAGAGAGCTGACCCCTGAGGCCGCAGAGCCGCCCCTGACCCCCTGACCCCCCACCAAAAAAAGTATTTCTGTGTTTGTATGGTCTTTTAGTTGCCAGCCCAATTCACTGGGAGTGACCCTGAATCCATTGCCCACGAGGACGGGGTGACATAGGGTCCTGAATTTCCGTTGCTTCACCTGCCCATCGCCTCAGCTCTCCCTGTAATTAACTCTTAGGGGAAGAAATTGTGATGAAAAATAAGAGTCCTGTTGACTTTCTTCAGTTAAAAAGAAGCTTTTGGCCTATTAGTCATGGTGTCACTAATGTGAAAAATATACTACTTCCTGGGCCAAGATTATAACACCTAATCACAGAATTCTCAACAATCTCTTATACAAAGAAGATTTTATTAATGAAAAGATCACATAAAACAAAGTTCTTGTATACAATGTTATCTGTTTACAAATGTGGAAAAGTTAATATTTACAACATGTTCCATACAGTACATGATAATTGTTTTATATGCTTTAATAGTATGCTAAATAGATCAAAAACATCAAAAAACTTTAAGAAATAATGCTTAACGAGAAACAAAATTTTAAAAATTCTTTAATATTTTAAAGTAGGTTGTATAAATCATTTTATCAGGACTTTTTTTTCCCCATTTGATTGGCACCAAAAATATTAACACATTTTGAATATTTAGTTACTTAGCTGCAGAAATGAATTCTACATAACATCTGAGAAAGACACTACAGCACACAGTTTTTGTAGGAAAAAAAAAGAAGTTAAAGGAAAAGCATAAGCAAATCTAAATGATCATAATGCAATGTTGGGTGGTCATAAACATTTAAAAAATGAATTAATTGCACTTGGCTTAATTTAAAAAAGACTAAAATTTCATTTACTAATCCTTTAGGACATTTTATTTAAAAAATGCAAAGGATCAGGGAGCAGCATAACACAATCAACATCATACACTCTTATAGTAAGCACCTTATTTCAGTTGCATGATAGATATGTGAAGTTTCTAAAATAATGAGACAATAAAATTCACACATGTAAGATGACAATGTAGAATAAGTGGATTTTAAAAGTTGAATGCCTATTATAAAATGTTTTGGTATGTCAACTTTTTTTTTTTTTTTTTAACTATTTTTATCTTATAACGTTTTTCAATTTTCTTAGAAATTCAGTGTAAAAGCTACCAAAGTAGTTCAAAAACATCAGAATAATGTAATAAAATATTTAAATTGATTTTCCAGGATTTCCAAAAAGTTCAAATATATGTAAGCCTATTTAAAAAAAAAAAAAAAAAATATATATATATATATATATATAGTATATGTATGTATATGTACGTATGTACATACAAGGGTAAGTTTTAAATATTTAAGCAAAGAAAAATCTTGATTTTTCCATTAAAAAAAGTGAAATAGCATAAAAAGTCTTAAAAATACTTTCTAAAAGTAGAATCTTCATAAATAGAAAAGGAAGATTCCTCTAATTGCTCCTCCCACACAATTTAAAAAATATTACTAACCTGCACAATTTGGTTTTCAGGCATATTGCTGTCACTAATCTTTGTGGAAATGAATTGTATTATTCTTGAAATCTGTTTTCCCCCCCTTCCCAGTAGAACAGTAGACAATGAAGCTTTAAGTGCAAAAGAAGAATGTAACAGTGATTCCTTCCCCCACCCCCAAGGCTGGAGATTGAACCCAGGGCCTCATAAATGCCAGTCAAGTCCTCTACCACTAAGCTACACTCCCAGCCCAGCAGTGATTCTCCTAAGACAGTGCATTGGTCACCTCCAGTGTAACAGGTATTTGCTTCAAAGTAATAAGATAAATGTTTTCAAGTATCTGAATGACCGCCAGCACTCTGCTCTTTTCTATCTTCGGAAGCTGAGTGAACAAGCAGAGATGTGGAAGCTTTAAGGCTGCTTGGCTCTGAAGAACTGGGCGCCTGTGAATTGTTGCTCTGCACTGGGGCAGTTTCAGTAATATCACTCCTTGGACTTACCCTATTTAGAAGAAAAGGAGTGGACATACATACATATATAAGCACAAATATGATGTCAGGTGTCCTTATTACTGGTATTCATTTTTCATGAGTTTTACCCCAAACTAATGTAGATCTTAATCAGAGAATAAGCTATTAAAACTCTTAGTATACTCTAACACTTCAAAATACAAATAATTAAAAAAAATAGTTTCTGATAACCTTAGAAACTTCATCAAGCTACCCATGCATAGATGGAGCATTCGTGTTTCATAGGGAGATAATGAGGCCAGATTACTGCCCATGGTTTGGCATGGTGGATTTCCTACCAAGAACAAGACTCCATGAAAGAGGCTGGGAACAAAAAGATGAGTGAGATTTTAGTTCTGCCTTTGAGGATTTTCAAATATAGTGGAGGATAAAAGTATATATCCAACTATAGTTCAGGTATACAAAAGCTATCATGAAAACACAGAGAAGGTGCATTTGGCCCAGTTTGAGGGCGCAGGGCAAGATAATCTTGAGACCTTAAAATTAGTTAGCTGTCAGCATTCTGGCTAACTTAGTGTTGACCTGTGTTTGGATCTCTTATAATCATTTGGGAAAATTCATTAAAAATGTCAATATCCTTCTTCCGTCCAGAAAACAAAGATTTTGTAATCATCTTTAATCATGACACCTTTCAGACATAATTATAATGTAGTATTAATGAAAATTTAGTCTATGTTTCAGAGGAATGGTAAATGTTTACCTAAATATATAGCAATGCTTAACAACTGCCACAGGAAATGAACTTTATTTTCCTTCTTGAAAATATATATATAACTCTTCTTCAAGTGAAGAATCAAACTAATAAATAGCACATTTATAGCCCGAACCCAAAATCCCTGTATTAAAGAGTAGACATGTCATATCATAAAATGCTAACTTGCCAGATAGGTTATGCTTTAATAAAAAATGGATAATGAGGTTATTAAAACTGTGATGACTATAGATAACAAAATTAAATCTTACCTTCCTGCACTCCGAGAACCCTCAGACACACTGCTCTTATCCTTCATGCTGCCTGCCCGGCCTTTCCTGTTGGCTTGCTCCCCAGAGAGTTTGCAGGTAGAGGCTGCTGGGGAGGCAGGCTCACCACCGTCCTGCTCTCTTAATTTGGGGGTGCTTGCTCTGTCTGCTCTCCCCTCTCTCACTGATGTTTCTGGAGAGGTTTGGACTTCTGTCAAAGTTTCTTGTCCTAAGTAATCATGGTCAGTGATTGCTACTGCAGAAGTGCCATGATTTGTTGTAGCTCCTGTGCTGGTCCCCATGGATTTGGAAATGACTTTCAGCTTGTGTGAACGTGGTTTGTAATGCTTCTTTTTGTGTTTCACTTTAGAATTATGCTTTAAAAAAAATTCACATGACTCCTGTAGCACTCTTCGACTTTCACTGATCGGACTGTAGGAAAATTCAAGGAGAGAATTTACTCAATAGATTTCAAGTGTTATTGTAGAAGTCATAAAGGAAATCATAAATCTTTTGCCCAAAATTCTCACTGTTTAAATTAGAAATTCTATATGATTTATGTTATTTATAAAATCTTGCAGTATAAATACCATGAAATAGTAGATTTTTATGGAGTGAAACTTTATGCACACTTACATGCTTTTATCAGCAGAAACAGAAAACTGGCAAGAAATCAAACAGACAAAAATCAAAGAATGAGGGCAAGGAAATTCAAACCAACATAAAATAAGGAACTCACTGAATTTGTATTTTTAAATACATCAAATAAGAAAATAAACCATAAGAAAAAAGACATAAATATAATTAATGGTCTTTGTTTAAATTTGTTTTCTTTCTAACATTAAAGTCGACAGGTTAACAGTGAAGTTATAGTGTGGGTGTATAAATATGGGATAATCATATAATAATAGCACACACAAAAAATAAAGCCCAGTTAGGCTGGGCATGGTGGTACATGCCTATAATCCTGGTGACCCAGGAGGCTGAGGCAGGAGGATCATAAGTCTGAGGCTAGCCTCACCAACTTTGTGAGACCCTGTCTCAAAAGAAAAAATAAAAAGGGCTGTGTATGTAGTTCAGTGGTAAAGCACTTCTGGGTGCGCGCGTGCACACACACACACACACACACAGCCCAGTTTAATGCAATTTTTCAGATTTTGAAAACTTGTTCATGCAAAGATTTATGGTTCTGAGATTTGTATCACAAAGAGTTTATTAATCAAATAAATGGGGAACAATTAAAATAACCCTACAGTATATTATATATAATGTTCATAAGGAACTAAAAGGAATTATAGATAAACATATATCATAGGATGTTCTGGAAGTTGAACTTTTACCATTTTAGGTAAAAGATCTTGATATTTTGATATATTTATTCTAAAACAATGGCAGATGATTCAATAGGTTCTTACTCTCTCTTGCGATTTCGTTTAAAAAACCCAGCCCACTCTGTGCATGTTTTTTTGCTTCCAACCCAGAAGACAGCAGAGATACCGACAATTAATGTCATCAGATATTTTATCATGAATAGGGCCAATTCTGGTCGAGCTTCTGCTTTTGCCTACAAAAAAAATTGATATGTTTAAAATTCAGAAAAAAGTCTATATTGTCAATGTAAAACTTAAATATAAATCTTTAGTGTGTTTTATTATAGAAGGTTTGAAATAACATACTATAATGAACAAAGTGCAGCACATTTTTACCTAAGTTCTGAATGAAGAACCTTTATATATCTGTACCTATATCTACATATCTCTATATCTTAGAAGGAAAAAATACTGAAATGATCATTTAGGAATGATCTTCTAAATCCTGTCCTAATTTTTTGGCCCTACAGATACAGCAGTTCTCTTACAATTACCTCTAAATATTTATTCACCTTCCTTCACCATAATTTACCATGACTATAAAATATAAGTTATTATAACCATTTATATTTAGTCTTTTACACATTTATGTTTATGTTATAAAAACTTGGTTGGCTACAGTAAATATTAGTGAAATGTGAAAATGAAGATATTTCACAAAAATTAAAATTATACTTTTGTTTCAAGCATAAACCTTCAAATTCTATTTTAAAATATTGTACAAGAATAAAAATATTATACATTCTTCTGTATATCTTGCTTTTTTTGCACTTGCTAATATTTCTCAGAGACCATTCTACAAGCAACATAGAGGTTTTTTTTTTTCCTTTTAAAGATGTTACATTATGTGGATGAACCATAAATTATTCAAAGAAATTTAGTACTTCCAACCTACTGGCATTTGCAAATAATATTAAAGTGATTATCTTTATATGTGTAAGATAATTTTTAATTTGATACAATAGTTATTGCCATACATCAATATTCAAGAATAATGTATAAAATCTATTTTAAAATAAAATTAATATTAAAAATACTCAAAATGCTTTAAGAAATTTTATACATTCAGAAATTTGTTTCAATCTCAAAAACATCACCCTTAAACTAATCATAAGCATTAGAAACATGTGAAACAGATTTTGTTTCAATTGTATTTTTTTTCAGTTAAGAAATGACAGAATGAATTAAGCAAAAATCAAACTGTTTAATAAGCATGTGCTATGCAAAAGTTATAAGATAAAATGATCAAATTAAATACCCTCAAATAGGAGTTCCCCTACTACTGAAGAAGTAAAAATAATTCAACAGAAGTTACTTCTCCTTTTCTCCCTCTGATGAGGCCTATAGGCCTGCACTTCTGATTCTGTTCTTCACTACTGTTAATCTGCCAATTTAATTTTTAAAAGAATAATTAAAGGAAGTATTTTTACTGTCACAAATGAAGCTACAACTCAAGAAAGAACTCTTGGGACACTTACCCTAGTTTTAGCTGGGTGTCATTCCCTATGTCTGTTGGATTTTGTCATCTGAAATCTAATTTTCAGTCCATGACTAAAGCAAGATCATTTCCAGGAACATTTTGTACATTAAAAATAAATATAACACAATCCAAGTGATAGCTCTTACCTGATAAGGACATGGGATGTGGTACTGACGACAATGGTCAGAGACCCAAGTTATCTCCCAGGTAACCCTGTTCACTTGCTCATAGACATAACATCCCAGAAGTGTCACTAAGGGCACAAGATACAGGCCACTGAAGACTCCAATTCGAATCATAAATTTCTTTAGTTTCTCTTGGTTCCGCCCATCATGCTGTATAACTTGTCGCACATGGTTTAAGGAAATAATGCCAGCTAAAAGAAGAGACAGCCCAACAAACACACAAAGGCACAACGGTGAAAGTACAAAGTAGCGAGAGGCATCCAGGTCATAAAGGCCAACAAAGCAAACTCCACTAATGTTATCTCCTTCAACTTTGTTCATGGCAAGAAGCAAAACAGTCAGAAAACCTGGGATGCCCCATGCAACAGCATGAAACCACACTGCTTTCTGTTCAATGGCTTCACAACTCCATTTTCTTCCTGCAGCTAAGAACCAAGTAATGGTCAGAATCACCCACCACACAGTGCCAGCCATTGTGAAAAAATACAAAAACATAAATAAAATGGTACAAGCCTTATTTTGAGAGCCTAGAACAACAGTGTCACCGACTTCTAGCTTCTCGTCTGCCTTATTGCATGCTGTGCTATTGCCTAGCAAAAAACCAACAAAGTACATAAGAGATACAATGCTGTAACACACAGAGTAATATATAATTGGTCTCTCTGGGTATCTGAATCTTTTAACATCAATTAAAAAAGTAAGAAATGTAAACAGAGTTGCACAAAGACAAAATATTGAAACTATCCCAATAAAACTTTTTGCAAACTCTAGCTCATCATTTTTAAAATACATGTTGGGACATGGAGGTGCACACTGATCAATTCCCAGAAACTTATAGCCTTGCCCCACAGAAGTCTTAAGATGCCTTGGACACCAAATTCCAATGTCTCTTGGGATGTCTTCTGTTTTCTGAGGACCAAGAAACTCTGTGTGTGGATCAAGGGTTATAGGAACAGTCTCATCACAGTATTTCAATCTGTAAAGATAATAAAAAATTAAATATATGAAGTCAATATTTGTACTGATTTGCTATTGAATCTGTGTTTCCCAACTATAAATTATTACCTTATGCATTCATAATTGATGAGAAACCTAAATAGATTACAGGTTGAGTAGAAAGTTTTGAAATTGATTAAGAATTTGTGGTTGTTCATGAGGCCTCAACATATGAATATATATTAAATACAAAGCAGGTTAAACATGAAAGTCTACTAACTGGAAAAACAATTAGTCAAATAATTTTAAAATAAATTCTGCTTTTCAATCCTTAGCATAAAAAGTGAAACAGGTAGCATCACTATACCAGACCTTAAACTATACTACAGAGCAATAATAACAAAAACAGCATGGTATTGGCACCAAAATAGACTAGTAGACCAAAGGTACAGAATAGAGGACACAGAGACTAACCCACATAATTACAGTTATCTTATATTAGACAAAGGCGCCAAAAACATACATTGGAGAAAAGATAGCCTATTCAACAAATGGTGCTGGGAAAACTGGAAATCCATATGCAACAAGATGAAATTAAACCCCTATCTCTCACCATGCACAAAACTCAACTCAAAGTGGATCAAGGACCTAGGAATTAAACCAGAGACTCTCCATCTAATAGAAGAAAAAGTAGGCCCCAGTCTTCATCATGTGGAATTAGGCCCCAACTTCCTTAATAAATAAGACTCCTATAGTGCAAGAATTCAAACCAAGAATCAAAAAATGGGATGGAATCATTCTCAAAAGCTTCTCATCAAAAGAAACAATCAGTGAGGTGAACAGAGAGCCTACAGCTTGGGAGCAAATTTTTACCACTTGCACATCCAGATAGAGCACTAATCTCTAGGGTATATAAAGAACTCAAAAAGCTAAACTCTAAAAAAACCAAATAACTCAATCAATAAATGGGCCATGGAACTGAATAGACACTTCTCAGATGATGATATACAATCAATCAACAACTATATGAAAAAATGTTCAACAACTATATGAAAAAATGTTCAACATCTCTAGAGATTAGAGAAATGCAAATCAGAACTACTCTAAGATTTCATCTCATTCCAGTCAGAATGACAGCTATTATGAAGACAAACAATAGTAAGTGTTGGTGATGTTGTGGGGAAAAAGGTACACTCATACGCTGCTGGTGGGACTGCAAATTGGTGCAGCCAATATGGAAAGCAGTAAGGAGATTTCTTGGAAAACTGGGAATATAACCACCCTTTGACTCAGCTATCCCATTCCTTGGTTTATACCCCAAAGACTTAAAAACAGCATACTACAGGGACACAGCCACATCGATGTTTATAGCAGCACAAACCATAATAGCTAAACTGTGGAACCAACCTAGATGCCCTTCAGTAGATAAATGGATAAAGAAAATGTAGAATATATACACAATGGAATATCACTCAGCAATGAAAAGAGAATAAAATCATGGCATTTGCAGGTAAATGGATGGTGTTGGAGAAGATAATGCTAAGTGAAGTAAGTCAATCCCAAAAAACCAAATGCTGAATGTTTTCTCTGATATAAGGAGGCTGACTCATAGTGGGGTGGGGAGGGGGAGCATGAGAAAACTAGACAAACTGCAGATAGGGCAAAAGGGAAGGAGGAGGAGGGAGAGGGCAAGGGGTAAAAAAAGAATGAGATGGACATCACTACCCAAAGACATGTATGAAAAAGATATGAATGATGTGAATATACTTTGTATACAAGTAGAGAGGTGAAAAAATGTGCTCTATATATGTAATATGAATTGTAATGCATTCTGCTGTTATATATTTTAGAATAAAAAATTTAAAAAAATAAAAAAATTCTGATTTTAAGATTAAATATTTAAAAAAGAATTGATCTCAACTAGTAGTTTTCAGACAAAAAAGTTATGGCTTGCCTACTTATAACATATGAATGTCCTGGGGAAACTCGTGTGTGTGTGTGTGTGGGGGGGTGTGTTTTGATGGGGTGCAATCCAGGGCTAGACAAGATCTCTACCACTGAGCTATATCTCCAGCCCCACTTCTGTTTCCTAATGCTAGCAAGCAAAGCAGATTAATCATGTGACTAAGGTGAGGATAACTAAAATGAATGAAATGAAATTCTTCCCTGGATTGACAGGGCAGAGTTCAACTTCTTAAACAAGGGCAAGAACACCAATAAGAATTAAGTTGAGGACCAGCTTACCTCATATCACTGTTTTATTTAGGTTTGGCTGTCTGCCTCCCTTGTTTATGGACAGACCTGAGTGATACATAGGGATATTTCTGTCTTGTATAGAACTTTATCACTGGGTCAAGTTTGTACACACCAGTATTATTTTGTATGTAGTTAAAAGTAGTGGAAGTTTTCAATGAGAAAGCATTTAAATACACCTTAGATAAAAATGGAGAATAAAAAAATATATGCTCATAAGCCAAGCATGGTGATACACACTTATAATCCCAGTGACTCACTCAGGAGGCTGAGGCAGGAGGATCTCAAGTTTGAGGCAAGTCTCAGAAGCCTAGTGAGACCCTGTCTCAAAAGCAAAAATAAAAAGGGCTGGCATTGTAGCTCTTTAGTAGAGCATCCCAGGATATAATGTCAAATATGTGTGTGTGTGTGCATGTGTATGTTTATGTGTATGTATGGGTGTAATGTCCATAAAATGAACATTCATGTATCTACCAGCTTTATTAAACTGTAGAATAATGTAAGTTATGCTATCCTTTAAAATAAAGCACTACATAGGTCTTATTTCCTTCTCCTCCTTCTCAGAAATATTCATTATTAGAAATTTGATTTGTATTTTTCTCAAGCTTTTTAAAATACTATACTTTTTGCAAATAATAACTTCATACAGTATTGTTTCATAGGTTTTGAACTTCACATAAATGACATGCTGAATATCACATTGCAATTCCCCTTTTAAAACTCAACATTACATTTTTTAGACTTACGCATGTTGACAGATTGAGGTCAGCTACATTCATTTTATCAACTGTATGGTAGTATTCTAGTGTGTAAGTATATCACAAACTGGTAATCATTCTTCTGTAATGAATTTTTAGACTTTTTTATTTTACAAAGAGAAATGATTATATAATTGATATTTTGGCTGATGACTCCATGTTTGTACAAGAGTTTCCATAGAAGATTTCCTTGAGTGTAAAAATTGCACCTGCAACTTTACCATACATTATTCAAGTGTTTTGGAAAATGATCATGCATCTACCAAAGTGTGTGAGTTCCACAAAAGTTCTATAGTTACCTCAGTCTAGAAATAAATTACCAAAAAGCTAGTCAGCTTCCTTCCCCCATTTATACATGAGATCTCACTATATCAACAGAATATTTAAAATTCCAAATCCCTAATATCTGGAGAATAGGAAACAAAAGTAATAAATAAAGACTAATGTGCAAAGGTCAGTGAATTGATAAGATTCATTCATGAGTGAATTGTGCTAAAAATCCTATTTTTGTAATATGGACTCTTATTGCAAATGAGCAAGCCAAACAGTGTTTATTATGTTTATTCACTATCACAGAAATGCCCAGACTGAATATTTCTTTTAAGAGAAAAACATATATTCCTGAGATTTACTTCTTTTCATTTTTTGGTACTAGGGATTGAACTTGGGGGTACTTGACCAATGAGCCATATCCCCAGCCCTATTTTGTATTTTTATTTAGAGACAGGGTCTCAGTTGCTTAGCACCTCACTTTTGCTGAGGCTGGCTTTGAACTCACAATCCTCCTGCCTCAGCCTCCTGAGCAGCTGGGATTACAGGCATGTACCACTGCACCCAGCCTATTCCTGAGATTTTTACATCCAATAAAGACAATTCACTTTGCCAAAATATTATACTAACACCAATCTGAAGGCATAAGTAATGAAAAGTACTTTGACCATAACACAATAGACTATTTCACATTATAAGACTGCCTGTTAACAAGTGCTTTAGCATCATTTTCAATTGAAATGCACTTATTAATTTAAGAATCTGGCATAGTACAGTGGGTGAGGAGTGATAAATCATACCAGTAAAGTGTTTTCATGAAGGCAAGGCATTATACATTCTGGGGGAAAAGTTGGACTATTATAATAAGGACAGGAAAAAGAGGGAAAGAAAAACAGTGTAATAGACAACAGTAAGATCCCAAGACTCTCGGGTGGTATGGTGAATATGCATTGCTGTGTGAAGAGTGAGAAGAGGAAAAGGAAGACACACGACAGGTCACAATGAGAGAGGTATCAATCTACTGGCAAGCTATCTAAGGATGGCGGGGCTAAGGTGAAAAGAAAGCCTCATTAGCCAAGAGACTCCTCACATACAAATGTGTGCCTGTGCTCTGATAAGCTGAGGAACCTGCAGGTCTCAGAGAATTAATGTACCTTTTTATACTTTTCAAAAGTATCTCTGGTACCCAGAGCCTAATGAGTGCTATGATCACAGAGTTCTGCTATTTCTTAAAGAGTAGAAGCTGTCACTATGTTTTTGCCACAAAGCTGACTATGGTAAACCCTTCATTATGCTAGAATTATTTGAGCAGGCTAGAATTAGGGTTTTTTTTTTTTTTTAATACTTTTTTAGTTGTCAATGGACCTTTATTTAATTAATTTATTTATATATGGTGCTGAGAATCGAACCCAGTGCCTCACACACACTAGGTGAGCACTCTACCACTGAGCCACAACCCCAGCCCCTAAAATTAGGGGTTTAATCAGAAATCTTCCTCTTTCTTCATGTCTTCAAAGTTAGATGCCACAAAAGCTTTAAAGTTTTATTTACAGAAATGAAGAAAATAAAATTTCTCTACTGTAGAACACGCCAGAATTATTTTTATGTGTGGACCCAATTAACATTTTATAGAAGATGTTGTTTATGGGTTTGCTTTCTACAAGTAGGATATAGTTTAACAAAGGACTTATACAATTTTTCAAAACGGGGATTATACTTCTCAATCCTAAGTATTCTCATGTGAGATAAATTTGGTTTGGTTTAATTATAAGAAAAAAAATGTCAGTTTCTTAACAAAATCAAACTACAAAGATCCAAACTCCCAAAGAGTTGGTAATAACAGCATAGGCACCAGTGTAAATTTCTGTAAGTTATAACAACTCTCCTGTTTTGAAATTGAGTAGGCGATTCCATAAAAAGAAAGTGTTTTCTCCAATGGCCTTATCATTTTCAAATATAAATATAAATCATTTCATCTTTCAGTTTCCTCCACAAGTAGTAAGATCCATGACAACAGAAATTTTTGAATTTAAGGGTGCTGAATGACTCACTGGTTTCTTCACCTCTTCTTTTGCTGTCACCATTTTTTAGTTTGACCATCCACGTGGGAAACCCCCCGACACTCTGGCTTCTTAGCTCCCCAACTTCTTCATCTTCAATGTCTATCCACAATCTCTGGATACCTGCAGTCACAAGGAATCCTCCACAGCCTACAGATGTACCCTATCTCCAAAAGTCAACTGAAGTATACTGCCCTTGGTCTACAAGCTCCTATCTTTGCAGCTCATTTATATTAAAAAATGTCCACTATGCCCTTAAAAAAACAAAAACAAACAAAAAAACCCTCACTCACTCTCCTCAAACCTATCTTCATACAGGTCTTCTTTCAATTCTTCAGTTCATTCCTTATCTATTCAGATTTTCCTGGACCATCATTTCAGTAACACCCTTCTAATTATCCTTCATTTTCTTACTGTTCCTTTGTCTTTGCACTGAACCCATCTGACAAAACCCCAACTACAGATAAATCCAGTTATCTACTTTACTGTACTTAGCCCCAAGCAACCTATGCTGCTGGAGAAGGTCTCAACAGGCCAGATGAGATCCACTACAAATTCACCTGACTTACTTGCAGTGTTACAAACCTTCTCCCATCTACTCCCTCTGCTGTTCTCTATGCTTATCTCAAACTAATATCCTTTCTCCCCAGATCCTCCACAGAGGACCCTGACTCTTATTACTTCACAATGGAAATAGAAACCAGCAGGTAGGATTCTTGCAACAATCCTTACTAAACATACAACTCCATCTACATCTGTAGCCATCTTTTCCTCTTGCAGTTACAATGGCAGCTACACCTATCCACGACCAACAATGTATCCGTGCTTGGGATCCTACCTCCTTCCCAGAAAACTTCTATACACAATCTCTTCTACTTCAATATAGTTGGCTTTTCCTTGTTCCCAGCAGTTCTTACAGTCGTCAGTTCTTTCCCATTAAAATAAAACCTCCATGACCATTCTCTTCTGGCTACCACACTCTCTTCCTCTGCTTTATAGCCAAATTTCCTAAGAATATCCATGTGTTCTGCTTCACTTTTCACTCACCCTTTCATACACTGCAAACTTCCCTTGCCACAGTTAATCTAGTGAAAAGATTTGTTTTTTTTTTTTTTTGGACTGGCAACACCTGACACTTCCTCTGCCTTGAATGCCTTTTTCTCTTCTGGACACACATTTCCCAGCTTCCCTGTTAGTTCAATCAAATGACTGAAGTCTAGCCAGAAGCAAGGCAAATGAAAAATGTACAATAATTCCAGGCAGAGGCAGTTAAGAAAAGGCGTGTTTCTATCTTCTCTCTCACCCATCTGAATGACTGTTAGCACTGCAGAATGGAGCAGCATGGATTCCTGGAGATGAGCTGCCATGGAGAGCTGCCAGCAATCCTCATGGGACTATGACACAAGTGCCCTGCTTTACACAGAAGCTAACAGGCACCTATCACCCATTGCTAACTTAAAATACATGGAGACCTTCTCGTTTCTTTCAGCATTAAAACATGGAAGATGGGCCCTGAGTGGTCTGACTGCTGCTTCTCTCTCCTTCCTTATTTTGTACCAGTCTTTCTTATTCTCATCACTGCAGCCAATCTGATTTTATAATTCCCAAATATGCCAAGTTCCCTCCTGTCACAAGGTCTCTAAACAAGCTTCCTAATGTCCAAATGCTCTTCACTCCTCTCATTGTCCAATTACCTCAGTCTAACCTTCATATTAACTGTCATCTCCTTTCCTATCCCCTAGTTTAGGAGAAAGGCACCACTATACATTCTCAAAAAACTATGCACATCTTCTTTGTTCTATTATCACAGACTTAATTTTTCACTTATTGGCATAATTATTTGATTATTTTCTGTCCATTCCACCTTACTCTAGGTCTCCTGCAAGCAGGAACCAAGTCTGTTTATTGCTAACCACATGTATGCAATGTTTACCACCATTGTGCCTAGTGAATATTAAGAGTGCAATAAACATTTGTTGAATTAAATAATGAAAGCCTTTTATTAACACTGTGCAGAGTTAGTAACATTAAAGTAACATTAGCTGTTAGTGAAGAACATAATTTACCTGTCACATTCAAGTTCCTCAGGCCATCTGATTCCAAAAGTATCAATTAATTTTTTACAATCAGAATATACTTTCTCACAAAATTTTCGACAAGGCGGAACCACATGAATTTGGTCTGTGCAGGTTGGTACAAAAGCTTTGCAAAGGAAAGTTTCAACATTTGGTGAACATTCCAAATTTGCAAGAGGAAGAAAATGCTAAAAAGAAAAATAGAAAAATAAGATTAGAAAACATTTCCATCACGAATAGTTCATTTACTGTTTAAAGCATATACTTTCTACTTACACTCCAAAAGAATTTTTAAATCTCCCTCTCAATACAATTAAATTTTGAGAACATCAGTATGTTTAGTCTGTTAGATGTAGGATCCCTTCATACAAAATGGATGCTATTATTTTATTCAATTATACATTTTTTAAGAAGACATGGATTATTCCATTGAAACTGCTTGTCGAAGTCACCAATAAACTCCACATTGTCAAGTCCAAAGCTAAATTCTACTCAACAATTGACATAGTGGATTGTATTCTATTTCTGAGGCACTTTGTTCATTTGTCTTCTAGGATATTAACTGATTTGAATTTCTGACTATTTTAATAACTTGCTGTTTCTTTGTCTGATCCTCTTCCCTTTCTGATTCTAAATATTGAAATGCTTCAGCTATAAATGCTGAAATGCTCTCAAGCTATACTCACTCCTCAGGGGAAACTTGCTGGCCCCATTCTCTCCTGTGAAGTCTAGACTTGAGTGAACATCTGCTTTCTGAACAACTGCAGAACAGGCATCTCAAACCCAATATATCTAAGAAACAATGCAATCCATTGCAGGCTTAAGCCACAATCACTCTTAGTCTACCCCACCTCAGTAAATGCTCAGACCAAGAATCTTGATTCATTCTTTACATCTCTCTTCTTTCATCCTATATCTAATCCATGAGCAAACCCTGCTGGCTCTCTCTTGAAAATATATTCTCAATCTATTTCTCACTATTTCCACCCAGTCTAAGCCACTGTATCTTTCACCTAGACTACTGAAAACCCTCCTAACAAGTCTTACTACTTCCCACTCCTGCTAATCTTACAGTCGATTTTCGTATCAATCCATATTCCCCAGTGTGATTCTTGAAAATTCAAGTTTGTCCTTATTCAAATATTTTGACAATATACATTCCAAAGTCTTTACCAAGTCCTATAAGGTTCCTAACTCTGACTATGTCTCAAATTTCATTTTTTATCCATTCTTTCTCTTATTCACTTCACTGTCACCAAATAAGACTTTTGATTCTCATTTCATGTATATTTCTCCCTCGGAATTTTTGCATTTGCTGTGCCCTTCAATTCTTCCACCAGATAGTCACATGGTTTTTGTCCCCATTTGAGTCTGCTCAACTGTCATCTTATAGAGAGGCATTTTCTACCCAACCTACCTAAAAATTATCTAGTCATTCTCTATCCCATTGCTCTGGTTTATACTTTTTTAAATCCCTTACCAACATCTAACATTGTATTACATAGTTTATGTCTTAATTTCTGTCTTTTCCACTGGGAATGTAAATTCTATGAGGGAAGGGATTTGGTCTATTCTGTTCACTATTTTTGTTTGTTTGTGATGCTAGGAAGTAAACACAGGGCTTGATGCATGTTAGGCAAGCACTCTACCTACTTATTTCCCTAGCCCTCTGCTCACTGATAAATCTCTAGAGCCTATAACAGTGTCTGCTACATAAATATTTATTGAATAAATGAATGTTTTCCAGAACAATGAGTGAATGCAGTGACAAGGCATGTCAATAAAAAATTTCAGAGCGTCAAAATAAGGAGAAGAATATAACTATTTCCAGGGGGAATAAAAAGGACATAGGGATGAAATAAGTTTTGAATATTTGATAATATTACAGCTAAAAGGCAATAAAGAAATAACTCTAAAATTTTGAAGAAGAGTAACTTTCAACCTATACCCAGCCAAACATTTTGGGGAGGTTAAAATAGTAATATTTTTGACTCTGTAAAAAATTTTTAAAAATTTTATTTTCAAGTACCCCTTTTTTAGAAAGCAACCAGAGAATGTAGTATTCTTGAAACACACTGAAGAGATATATGAATAAACCAAGAAGGAAAATAATATGAGACTCAGGAATTACTTTATCTAGTTCTAAAGAATGGCAAGAGGAATTCTCAGTAGGACAGCTATGAATGTAGTCCAGAAAACAATCAGAGCATATTTGATAGGAGGACAGATGGCTGAAGGAAAAAGATCTCCAGGGGTTGGAAATGGGTACTGGAATTGAGAGATTATATGATATTTAGAGCCGCTGAAAAAATTGTCTCTAGATGATTGACAATTCTGTTAAGACATCTGGAAAATGTCAGCAGTAGGTACATAAAGCAAAGCAAAGAGGGATAAATACAATTACTGCATTAACTTAGGGGGAGGAGGTATTAAAGAAATAAATGTAATGCAAGCATACTACTTAACTCAGCCACGCACAATATTTGATATACTTAATGATATACTGACTACTGATTTAGTTAAAAATTGTCTTAGAAAATTGGGAAGTCCCTGGAACTGCTCTGGCCCAGGGCTAAAGAACCCGCGGAAACTGCTTCTCAGACCGGGTCCTGCTGAATTCTGTGGAGGTAAATACCAACCGAGCCTTCATAGGCAGTGGCAACAGGATTGAGATGGGGCTTGTGAGGGCCGGTCAGGACCCACCCGGCAAAGGGAACGAAATGCTGCCATTTGTATGGGATACCAACATGGCAGAGATCTGATGTCATCAGAAAGCGGCGGAGGAGATAACTTCATCGATACCAGCGGTGACAGAAACAGTTGGTCTCCTGGTAAAGAAAGTGAGTCACAAACACCCGAGTCTCTCTCGCTTTGTCATCAAGCCAGAGGGGCAGAGCAGAGCCGCCGCCCGCACCCGGAACAGGCCCAGCGACCCGCCGGTGTGGTAGTCACGTCACCCCAATTGGAGTAGGGGCCGAGCAGAGCCGCTGCCCACGCCCGGAACAGGCCCAGCGACCCGCCGGTGTGGTAGTCACGTCACCCCAATTGGAGTAGGGGCAGAGCAGAGCCGCCGCCCACGCCCGGAACAGGCCGAGCGACCCGCCGGCGTGTTAGTCACATCACCCCAATTGGAGTAGGGGCAGAGCAGAGCCGCTGCCTGCACCTGGAACAGGCCCAGCGACCCGCTGGCATGGTAGTCACGTCACCCCAATTGGAGTAGGGGCAGAACAGAGCCGCCACCCGCGCCCGCAAGGTAGGCAGACCTGCGACCAACCGGCAAAACAGGCCCAGCGGTCCGCGGGCGTGGTAGACACGTCACACCAATTGGAGTAGGGGCAGAGCAGAGCCACCGCCCGTGCCCACAAGGTAGGCAGACCTGCGACCGAACGGCAGATCAGGCCCAGCGGCCTGCCGGCGTGGTAGACACGTCACACCAATTGGAGTAGGGGCAGAGCAGAGCCGCTGCCCGCACCCGGAACAGGCCCAGCGGCCTGCCGGCGTGGTAGACACATCACCCCAATTGGAGTAGGAGCAGAGCAGAGCCGCCGCCCGCGCCCGGAACA